ATTTCTTTATGAAGTTGTTTTTTTTTTATGAGTTGGGAAGTATACTTGAAGAAATCTGATAGGTGTGTTTTTGAACTAAAATCAAATCCAATTATATGGCCATTGAAATTGTAAGGTTTGGCAATATATTTAGATATTTTGTTGTATACAAAGATGCTAACATCAGCTTGGTGAAGATTTGTATATGAGCTCCAGAAACTGGTATAATTTTGAATTTGGTTACTAAAGATTTTTCTTCTTTAGAAGATAAATGTGTTTTAGAGAGTTCAAAAATTTCAAAGTTGTTTTCTTATAAAAGTTCTATTAAGGAAAGTTTTTTGTTGGGTTGGGAGAGACCATTTATATTTATTGATCCAATTTTGATTGATATTGAGGTGTGTTCAGGTGTGATTATTGATGAGATGAGGAGAGGTGTTGTAGAAATGTTTGGATATATTGGTTGGTCAGATGTGAAGAGATCTGTAGAGTTTATGTTAAGAATTTTCCAATTGAAAGATGTTAGTAATGGTAAATGACCATAGATATTATAAAGAGAAAAATCTATTTCTGTATGATTTGGTAGTATTTGGGTTGTAGATTTTAAATAAATATGTAATTTTGTTTTTTTGAAATTTATAGATATTTTTAATTGAATTAGAGAAATTGTTTAGATATAGATGTTAAATGAAACTTTTAAGTATAACAGGTTCAGTAATTTGAGGTAGGTTATGTTGTTTTAAGAATTTAGTATAGCATTTGTCTATCTCAATAGGAGATAAAATATTGGAGAAAGAGATAGTATTTGTAATGTCTTCTACAAAGTTGCTTACTGTTTTAAGCTTGGCTTGCACAGCTGTAAAGAATATCATAACCTGCCTAGTACATTGGGTCTGGTTGACATATTCCTGGTTCTTCACTACAATAAGCTTTACTGCCTGCCTACTGTCATCATTCTCCTCTAAGAATGGCCCACTAGTAGTAGAAAACATCATAATCTTAGAGGCAACAGTTGCTTTAATGTTATCTGTAGAAGAACTTATTGAAAAGGAGTTTTTTGGTGTTGGGTAAGGTTGTTGAGTGTTTCTTTTTAAGAGATAAAATTGTCAGAGCTGTTATCCTGAATAGTGGATGTTAAATTTTCTTCTTTATTTTTAGTTTCAGTTTTGTTTTGTTGTATGAAGAGCATGTCATTGTATTGAGTAAAGATAGAAATATTAAGATGTTTGATTAGAAAATTTTTTGCTTCTGGATAGTAAAATTTGGCATAGTTGTTTTTTGTTTGTTTAAGAGATATTTTAAATTGAGAGTGAATTTCATAAAAGGTAATTATTCGAGCTAGTATATATACATCAAAAGTGGAGTTTATAATTTTTTTAAGAGCTTTTTCTTTAGATAGCTTTTGAATTTCATTATTTTTAGCTGCTGTATATAAATATTTTTTTAAATATTGATTGAAATAATAAGTAATTCTGGCTACTTCACTATTAATATTATTAAGAGATATGAAGCTTTCTTTAGTTGATGTAGCTAATTTTTTTAATTTAGTTATGGGTGTTGGTTTTGAAAAGGTTGCTGCTAGTTTTTGGTTTGATTAAAATAATTTATAATCTAATGAAGGGTATTCTCATTTTTTTAAATTGGCTTCTAATACTGGATGGGATTTAAATAATTGTGAAAAGTAAAATTTAGAAATATTTTTGAGAGAGTGTTCTGTGTTGTCAGATAGTAGGTTACATGATTTGCTATAACATTTATGAAAATGATGAAGTGCTGCTTTAAAAGTAGCTTTAGAGTGATCTTGAAGTGTAAGTAACATGTTAGGAAGTGAATAAGTTTCTGGTAGAAGTTCTTTGCAATCTTCAACAAGTTTTAGCTTAACTTTAATATTAAACCTATTATCATTTTGTATATCAAGAAGTAGCTCATTTGTATTGTAATTAATATCAAAATTTAGAGTGAAGTGTAATGGCTTAATGTCAAGTTTTTTCATGAAATTTTCAAAATTAATAGTTTTGTAAGTATAATTTAAATATAAATAAAGATGTGCTACATTGATGACAACTTTTTTTCTGTCGTTGACTGAATATGATAGGATAGAGTAATGTGATCAGAAGATATATAAGTAGTCTAATTGGGTAAATAGTACTGTTGTAAATTTAGCAATTAAACCTTTAAGGGTTTCAACTAAGACTTTAAAAGGAATAGGCTTAGATTAATCAAATTCAGAATTAGTTGCAAGGATCAAATCAGTTAGGAATTTTGGTTTGTCATTAGCCATTTTGTTAAGTATATAAGTAAATGAGTATTTAGCAGATGGTCTGTTGTTAGGTTTTGTGTTTATTGGTTCAATAGGAATAATTTAATCTAAGTTAAAGTTTATAAGATATAATTTTAAAAATGAAAAGACTTGAAGTGTTAATGGTATACTTAGTTTACTATTTTTCTGCATTTCAGAAATAATAGGATAGTTTAGAAACAAATCAAAGTCATTTGTTGTATCATATTTTTGTGAGATTTCTTTTTTTTTTCCTTTTTGTTGATTTTTTGGTTTTTTATTAGTATTGCTTGAGTTTTTATTTGTTTTGTTATTTTTAGTTTAATTTTTATCTTTGAATTCATTGTTAGATTTGGTTTTTTTAGGCAATCTTGCAATAAATTTTTTGAAGAGTATATGTTTTTTTTTAGCAGTTAGTTACAAGCACTTAATTTTACAATATAGGTTACATTGTTCTCAATTCATAGGTTTAGAAAGGGTTGGGTATTTAAGTTTTAAGATGTAAATACAGTGTGTATATACAGAAAAGCTTTCTTTACTTGTTGTAAAGATTAAAGCTTGTGGATCTAAAGAATGTTTATTGTCATTAATAGAGTTTCAATCCATAATCTGTCTATCCATTTATCCATCAAATATCTGATATCTGATAATAATTAGATAAACCAGATTAAAATAAATAGATAACTGAATAATTCGATAAATTATTCGGATTATATATTACAAATGCAAGGAGTGCAATATTCATACAGGGGCAAATTACCGTTATCACATGATAACAGTTATCATTATTACATAATAACGGTTACTGTAATCACATGATAATGGTTACCGTTATCAAATGATAACGGTTACTGTTATTATATAACTACATAGTAATGTAATGCCTGTTATCTGTAATTTTTTAGTTTATATTTAGAGAACATGACGTTCACTAAAAAAAATATTATTGCAAAAGCCATTTTTAGGTTTAAACTGCAACTAAATTAAATTGATTCAGAAGAGTGACAAAGCTTACTAAAAATCTCACATAAATGATACCAAACAGTCCTTTCCATGTTACTTGTTAGGAAGTGTTTTGGAAAAAGAATATACAGAAGCATACTTTAGCTACTAAATTTGCTAAGTGAAGATAGTTTGTTAAAAAACTAATCTAAAATTTTACCGGTAGGTGGTTAATAATGCTATTATACGTAGAACTTGTTAATGAAAAGATAGCCTCGAACTGAAAAAAGCAACCTAATGTTTATCGCTTGGCTTTAATAATGGTAATATAAAATTTTCAAACATGTATATTGTGTATAAAAGATATTTAAATATCAATTTGTCAATAATCCTTGATTGCAAACTGTGATTAGGTACCAAATCAATATGGTGTTATGGCAGTATACGAAAATTCATGCACAGATTATATTAGATGCTTACCAGCATTGAAAAAGCTTTACTCTAGGTAAATAGTCTAATCTGAATATAATAAAATAAACCCATAAAGTATGTAAGGTTAGTAATAACTTATTTATTAAAGAATACATCAATATTTATTTATCTTTTAAATAATTCTTATCTTCAAGTAACCAGTAAGGAAGTACAACATTCTACATAACTATGGATAACAAATTATATGAAACTCATAATTAAATTTATTTTTACGTATCAATTAAGGTATTGCAATTAGTGAATTATTTAAACTGAATATTGATCTTCATGAGATTGAATTTTTTAGAAATTTTTTGATAACATTTGGACTTTTGAAGTTTTTGAAGAAGTGTCATCTTAAGAAACCTTTAAGAATAGTGAACTTTTGTAAAGGTCTATCTCAGAAAACTTTTGAAGAAATGACCTCAAGATATGTATATGAACTTACAGCATGAATCTGAAATTTTTATCTCGGATTTGGAAATCTTGAATGATGAGGCATCATTTTAAGAAACCTTTTATATTTAGAAAGCATGTCGCAAGATATGTATATGGATTCGGAAAATTTGAACAATGTGATGTTATCTCAAGAAACTTGTAAGAGAGAATCGATTTTTGAAAAGGTATCATCTCAGGAAACTTCTACAGAAATGATACCACAAGATTTGTATATGGACGAATATGAGTCTAAAATTGTCATCCCGGATCTAGAAAATTTGGATGATGATAAATATCTACCAAAAGTAACGGTAAGTCTTATATATAATGGGTATTGTGATGATTATAGACATGATTTTATAAATAACATTCTGTGGTTGTATGTTATTGATTGAATCAATAATATTTACTGGTTAGCCAAAAAAGTCGACTCTAGATAATTCCTATTCACAAAATAAAGAAATTTCTAAATTCAACTTCTACATTTTTTTTTTTGGTTGTTATCGATCCTAACAGGTGCAGAACCCTCCTACAGATGATACGTAGCTCTTATATCCAGGATTTCAACTCTAATTCAAATCTTTATCAGGTATGATGAATAATTTTATGATTTGATATTTATATTTTCTAATACGTAGTCTTTATATTTTAATAAATATAGGTTCACTATTAAAAAAAACTCTATAAAGTAAATAATTACTTATCTTGAAAAAGGTAAAATAAAAATACTGTAATTCCCTGCTTTCACCTCTTCCTTTGAGCGAGTGGATGAGAGAAGAACTAGTCTAATAACACAAGGCAGGCAATAGTGAAACCCGAAATGTCTACTTTTTTACATACAAAATTTACTTATCATGAATGCCAATAAGAATGCTAGACTTTATCTATAATAAAATTATAATAAAGTCATAGGACCTATATTATACTGTTCTTCGAATGTTTTATACTTTTTTAATTTTATTATGGTTGACTTTCCTAATGTTTCTTCAGGAACAATGGTTAAATTATGAACTAGTTAGAAACTAGTTCATAACTCCAGTATAAAACCAGTTTAATTCTAGCAGTTTAGTATATAGAACAATAGTGAACGAGTATTATGTTTTAATTATAATTACATTATTTGTATTATTTCGAACTAGTTTTGAACTATCCCTAAAAAGTCCAGTCCCAGACCCGATCCGAACCAGTTCATTGCAGACTACCAATGTACGTACTTGTCTTATTAACATACCAGATATGTGCCTTTCTTATTTAAATTCGATATTAATGTACAGACTTAAATTATTATTCCCACATTTAATTTCTGCATGTTTAGACCTGAATGATATTAATATATAGACTTAAATTATTATTCTCATTAATTATAACATTTAATTTCTGCATGTTTAGACCTAAATGATATTAATGTATAGACTTAAATTATTATTTCTGTTAATTATAATGTTTAATTTCTGCATGTTTAGACCTGAATAATATTAATGTATAACTCTCTTATTTGATGTACAGATTTAAATTATCCCATTAATTTTAGATATTAACAAACATAAGACTTGCCTTATGTTATTTTAATGCAAGCAGCCTAATGATTTAAAATACAGAGAATTGAATTTTCAGTTAACATCACTTTTAGAACTCTTGAAGGGAGGAAGGAGGAGCAGGAATAAAATTAAGCAAACATATAGAATGAACAAATATGAGACAATTTGATTGGTTGATGTAAATCAAGAGATTGGTGAGAGTTATCCAGCAGTTTGATTGGTTGTTCATTTCTCAGAGGAAGCCCTCAGCTGAGAGAGGAAGGGTGATGTTAACTGAAGTATCAACTTCGAATGGCCTTATTCTTGTTAATTTTAATGTTTAATTTCTGCATATTTAGACCTGGATATTAACATATGTGTGTATGCACGTACGTGCTTTATTAATATACAGATTTGAATTATTATCCTCCATTAATTTTAAACATTTAATTTCTGCATATTTAGACTGAATATTAGCATATATGTATAGCTGTCTTATTAATATACAGACTTAAATTATTATTCCTATTAATTTTAACATTTAGTCACTAATATTTAGACTTAATATTAATATATATGCCTGCCTATTTAAACCCAGATATTAATGTATGGAGTTAATTTATAATTTCTGTTAATTTTAACGTTTAATCACTGATATTTAAACATGAATATTAATGTACTTACACACCTGCATGTTTAAACCTGGATATTAATATACAGACTTAATTACTTAAATTATTATTCCTATAAATTCTGATTTAAATGTTAGATTTAACTCTTGTTTACTGTCTTATGATGAACATAAGATAGAAGTTTACATGTTATTTATTCTTAGTAATTATTATCTGAAAAATTTTTAAAAAAATGTAATTGAACAAAGACATAATAAAAATGTAAATCCTTTATTTTACAAGTAGCGCAATATAGGATATAAAGCTTATTATTCTGAAAAATAAATAGTATCTAGTATATATATATAACATTTTCTAAATCTATAAAGGCAATAAAGTAGACCTGAATATAAATTATAAAATTTTTAAATCATAATTGTTAAAATAAATATATATACATGTACTATTTTCCAGATTATAGCTTCTTTGATTTTTTTTAAGTTTGCAATATTATTTTTCTAAAAAATGGCAAAAAAACATACAAATCATTCTAATTCAATCACAAAGTCAAATAAAAAAATAAAAGCTTTAACTAAAAGAAAGAAATGTCCTAAAGAAAGTTGGATCTGGAATACTTTAAAGAAAGTATAGAAAAGGATATTCCCATTATAGTCTGTCAAGAAAGAAAGGATGATGATACTATATGTGGTATGAAGTATGTCTATTCCAGCGGGTCAACAGGAAATGCAATTACCTATCTTAGAAACTCCCATGAAATAAGCAACAATGGAAAAGTTAAAGTTATTAATTAAATTTATTATTATATTAGTTAATATTTAATATATATATTTTTAAAAATTAACGAAAAAAAAATAATTTAGAATAACAAACAAATATTATCAAATAAAAAAAAACATCTGGAAGCCCATCAGATTCAATTACAACAATCTCTTACGACCTGGATAATAAAAGATTCACAACCTATTTGTGTTGTATCTAATGAAGTGTTCCGTAAATTTATTTATAACCTAGACCCGGCATTCATAATGCCATGTGAAGAAATAGTAAAAAAATTAATCTATACTGCATATTATTATAGTTTACCCAAGCTTCAAGAAAAATTAATTAGTGAAGCCATTTCAGTATCATTAAGCATAGATTTTTGGACAGCTTGTAGTCACCAAGGTTATCTTGGTGTTATATGTGCCTTTATTAATAATGATTGGAAATTGTGTGAATTAGTCCTCACAATAAAATATGTTCGGCATTTACATACATCAGAACGCATAACTGAAGAAATAGATGTTATTATGAATGAATGGCAAATCCAAGATAAAACATTTATCATCACTATGGATAACGGACATAATATAAAAAAAGCCATATTCGATATGGAAAATATTGACTGGTTAAATTGTACGGCTAATACATTGAACTTAGTAGATCAAAAAGGACTAATTTCAGCAAAATTATTAGTTAAAAGAGTTAGATACTTAATCAACTTTTTTATAAAGCCTAAACAAAGTGAACATCTTGAAGAAGTCCAAGCCAAATTTCTTGAAGTTAAAGAAGTAAATGATTTAGATGATGATAATTATAATATTAAGGTAATATATTTATATTAATTTATTTACATATTATTATGGCACATTTGGAAACTACCCTAAAATTTGAAAATGCTTGATTACTGATAGTAAGTCGTCAATTTAATTTGACTTATTATATATGTATCAATGAGTTAGAGCTATTATGGTAGCTGTGAAACATGTTCCAATTTTTTACAATTGCGCTGTAATTTGTTGTATAATAATAATTTTAACATATGGTTCTAATTTCTTAGAGCATAAAAAATGTTTCTGAATACTTACATGCCATCAGTGATTGCCCCACATGATGAAATTCATCTTACCTTGCTTGGAATCGGCTCCTTAAATTAAAAGGCTATATTAGTCTTCTTGCAAACTTTCTTTCAAACAAATCTGATCCCGATACAAAGAAAGATCTCAAACAATTAAAAAAAAATTTACTTTTTGATGATGAATGAAATGCAATAAATAATCTAGTAGAGATTTTTCATTCATTTTACGAGGCTACAGATTACTTAGGCAGAAGCCATTATTGTACCTATTCAATTATAATTCCTATTTTAATAGATCTTAAAAACAAGTGTCAGACAGTAGCTTCTACTAATAATATTATTAATTATGATGATGATCAAGACATATTTGACAATTCCGAAACTGAAGAAGAGGAGGAGGAACAAACTTATACTCCAATTAATATAAATATTAGTGAAATTAAAAGTGATCTATATAATGCAATGAACCATTATTGGCCTAATTTAACATCACTGAGGTTACTTTTACCTAGTCTTTTGGATTTCAGATGCAAAAATTTAACTTTCGTCACATTTGAAGAACGGTTTGCTAATGAAAATCTACTTCGTGAGGAATATAGTAAGATGAAAAATAATATAGATAAAGAGAAAAAAAATATAGTTAGAATGGTTAGAACAGAGGCTAAAACAGTAAAAAAAATTGCTAAAAGTAGCATTCTTTCAAGTTTTAAAAAACATACGTCAAGTACGGTTAAAGAAATTTCTGACTATTTAAAGCTTGAGGAAGTTGATTTCAAATATGATCCTTTTGTGTGGTGGCATGAATAGCAAAATAAATTTCCAGTTCTGAGCAGCCTAGCAAAAAAATATTTATCTGTTTTTGCATTCTTAACAACTAGTGAAAGGTTGTTTTCTGATGCAGAAAACTTAATAACTGAAAAAAGAACTCATATAAGTCCTATGTTATTTAAACAATTAATGTTTTTAAAGAGAAATGAAAAATACTTGGATAGTATTTATTAATGCGAATAATCTTTTTTTATATTTCTATATTTAGTAGAAATATATTTAGAAACAATCTTTTTTATTTTTTTATCGATAGATATATTCTTGTGTAGTGTAATGTTCCTGTTGTTATAAATTGATTTGATTTATATATGTACGTATACTTTAGTTCTGTTAATTTCTTGGATCTAAAATATTTCTAGTAAGTGGAATATAACTTAACTGTGATTTAGCATTTAAAAGATTCACAGATAAATATATTATATATCATTTTTTTTTATAAATTTATACTATATATAATTTTTATATAATAGATTGAGAAATTTTTTTAGTTGTAAAATAACTTATATTAAATTGGTTCATTCTTTAATATTAATTATTTTAGGTAAAGTATTGCAATAAGACCTTTTCTAATGCTAATTGTAGATATATTCTTATATTAGATCTCAAATTGAATTTTTATTATTAAAAGTCTTTATACATTAATTACATTTTTATATATTTAATCACATTAATTTAGATGTGAGTATAAAGAACATTTATTAGATATTCAAGTCTTCATGATAATTTAGTATATGAGCATAAAGAAGATTTTAAATATTTTAGTAGATTAATATCATTCCTGTTGAAAGTATACCGAGATAGAGAAATATTTAATATGCCAAATTTAATAGCGGAATGATTGCTATTTTTAGTAGCTTGCTTAATTCTAATTTCACAAATAGGAACACTCATGGAAAAAGCAAGAGATGGGACTACGGTAAAGTCTCTATAAGTGCACACACTTGAGACCAAACTTAATATTGTGCACTTAAAGAACTATAAGAAAAAGTGCACATATAGAGGTCACATATATAGTTGGACCTGAATTTGAGTATGCATTTAGAGAGGGTGTGCACTTATAAAGATTTTACTGTATATATTATGTAGTTCCATTCCTGCTTTGGCTGTGGGTATCCCCAAATGATCTTTAGATATTTGATATATTAATATTGTTATGAAGTTTAAGTAAAGTTGCTATGTTGTTGTGTAATAACTTGCTTTATGAAAATATTTATATATTGGCGAAGCTAATTTCATCATGTCTATTAATGACTAATGTAAGTGTTATTTTTTATAAAAATATTTTAAATAGCTTATCTAATTTTTCATCATATATACCAACTAGTAATGTGGTAGAATCGTCCCAATGATAGTCATTACATTACCGTAACTTACTGTA